CGTGGTATCAGTTTAGTGATTTTTCAATATTTATTGGAATCTAAATATTTTTAGGTTAAAATTTTCATAAAATTAAATTAGGATATACAGTCTACATACTTTTTTTTTTCTTTTTTTTTTTAAAGTTACTTTAAGAAAAAAATTAATCCTAAATTCATTCTTTAATAATCTCAAGCTAAAAATTCAATCCAGAAGAGTTGGAGAAAAAACTATTTCTTAATTAAAACCTAAATTTTTTAGATTAAAAATTGTCGATTTTAACCCGAAATTAGAGATGGTATAAGAATTTTAAAAGATTTTTAAAAAAGTCTATTTATTTGACATGTTTTGGATTTTGGAGGGTTTGGAGGGAAATGAAAGTTGAAGAACAGGTGGATCGATCAAAGGGTTTGTGGGGTCCACAAAGAGAGGTAGAGACCGACAAAGAGCATCTTTTGTTACATGGGTTTGCGTTCAAAGAGTGCATGCGAGAAGGGCAGAGTGGGTGATGAGCCTCTTAATTTTGTTTCTTTGTTACTTTTGTTTGTGATCAAAGGCAAATAACAAAGAATGAAAGAAGAAAAAACAGTAACTGGTATTGCGTGTTGGAAGTAGTTTCAACTTTTATTGTGGTGGATCAATGGCGATGGATGAGATCGATTGAAGTTATACAGATGGAATCATATATGCACATGCATGGAAGATCGAGTTGAAGTTTGTGTGTGCAGTGCAGGCTGCTGCAGTGTTGGCAGCAAACTCTCCGGCGCTCGTGCAGTGGCTCTTTCTGCTGTCTGTCAGCGCCACCCACGCGTCTTTTGCTCTCACTCCCACGCCCCCAACACTCTGGATTATGCGGTCAAACCATGCTGCCTATAGCTAAAACCTATATTTTTGCTATTTTGCTATTTGTTTCCCTACACCAACCAACCCTTACCCTTCACACCCTGTCCCTCCATATGTAATTGTCTCGAATGCTTTACCCTAGCTATATATTCAAATAGGTTTTCTAGATTTGGTCTTTTAGTTTAGTTTTGGATTTTTTCTCAAAAATAGATAAACTCTCTCTCTCTCTCTATATATATATATGTATATATATCAAGAAAAATGTTATATATTTGACTGTTCTTTGTCTATTATTGATCTATTGACTAATCAGCTACTTAAGATTTATTGCTTATGTTATTTATAAACATTTGGATAGCTTTTATATGCAAGACATAAACAAAAACATATTGTGGATTATGTATATTATGTGCCATGTAATATACTCTAATAAATTGATTAAAAGTAGTGGAATGTAACTTGTTAAGAATAATATAGATCAAATACAATTGCCCCCCACATCAGGTTAGTGATTATTCAACATTAAGGTATATACATAAGTTGCACTGGGACTTTTAAGTTAAGCTATCATACTTGAATTGTGACTCTGATTAAAGATGATATCGGTGTGACATGGAGTGCTAAAAGACGTGAACCTTCAAGAAGTGTATCATATGGGATGATTCGATTTGGAGGCATGACATGCGAGTATTAGTCAATGTAGAGCAAACACATGATTAAAGTAATGGTTAAAAGAAAACCTACAAAGCTTGAAAAGCTAAGCAAACGCAAGAAATTTATGAGATTTACCTACAAATCAGATAATCCTGCTTAAAAATATTGGATGATTAGTGTTTGACTTAAGATAACGTATGGCATTGCTTTGACTATATAAACATAACAGGCCAAATTATACATATATATCATGCATGTGGTCGTAGGGATGTCCCAAGGTAACCAATGTAGTGAAAAAATGTGGGAAATTATACTCACGTGGTGTAGTCCAAAATGTTATCAAAATCATGATTTTCTCCAAATTCTGAGAGGAAAAAAAAAAATACTCACAAGATGAATTATCAACTATGAATGTGAATCCAATGCGAACTTTAAGACGAAACTTAGATGAAAATTTTGATTTTAACTTAAATTGGTAACCAGTTTCACAAGATGAGTATAAGTAACACTTTTTCTTTTTTTACTTCATGGACGTATATGGGTTACCTTGAGCGACCCCTATAACCATACATATACAAACACGTACACATAAGCTGCCGATCATATTTCTAAGGTCCTTATCAAGAATCACTTAATTAGTTGAGAACTCCAGTGCTCAAATAAAAATAGGAATGTTCTTATTGGTTTAAATCTTCAAACAATTAGTAATCATATATATTTTTTCTTGGTTAATCTACCTTTTTTCTGCACTTCAAAAACCTTGAAAATGAAGGGCCATCATAGTGCTTCAAAAGCAACTTTCTCAATGTTCGGCTATTTCTTTATGCTCCTGCAAATGTACTTCCACCTAGACCTATTTCTTGAAATCTCCTTCCAACTTGTAACCAACTGCCATTTTACTCTCTGAAGTTTAATTTCAGTCAATTATCCCTCTAAATATTTGTTTTGAATTTGATCTGAAATTTGGGTGGCTGGTGGTTTGAGGTTGGGAGTGGGTGGGGAGGGGGTTAAAACCGGGTAGATGCCCTTAAACTAACGAAATTATGGATGAAATGTGGTGAGATTTAACAATAGTGGGGGATTGAGCTATAAATAAAAATTTACGTGGGTACTTGCTTAAAATTAAAGTTCATGAAAGGTAAACTGACAGTGAAATATAAATTTAGGAGAGATTTTGACAAATAGGTCTTACACGCATGACTATGAGTGTGTCTTGGGGGAACTCCTATTCTAACCAATCAAACCTTCAATTTATGATGTTGGAGTTACATAAGCGTCAATTATCTATAATATTATGAAGGGGCCCATCTTTCTAGTTAAACAACGGAATCAATCTATTGTTTTTTCCTATCTTATTGTTTCAATATTTAGATTTAAGGTTACATCTTCTTTAAACATGCATGAGATTCTAAACTCCACTATTGTAAAGTGGCTTATGGAGAAACACGTAGTTAAGTAAGTACTGTTTGGTTTTGCTTCTTTTATGTTTTAGTGGGATACTTGTATAGTTAATATTACCCTAAGCCAAACGGAAGTACACACCCGGGCCAATGGAAACCATCTCAAGGTCTTACTCAAAAGATTGAAAACATAAGCTAATAAAGGCACTCACCTAAGTACAAATTAAGAATCATATCAAAAGGTTAGAAGTTCTCCTTAATCTTTTATGTGCATTGAGGTCACAAATGATGTTACGTATCTAAAAACAAATGAGATACCACTAATAGTATTCCTTTCCTCTTTCCTTGTATTATAAGATACTAAGTTTGATTTTTCACTTCCCTCATCTCCTGTGGCAAATGAAGTTCACTCATTAGACTATTATTATGATTCTTTTATACTTAACGCATACATCAAGTGTTATGTGCTCGCTCTAATATTACATGATATATCAGTTTTATCACGTAACTAATGTAGTAAATGGAGATAAAAAATAAAAATAAAAAGAAGAGAAAACTAATGAAAAAAGCTTGAAAACTTTGAGTTTTAACGAAAATAACAAAATAAAAGGTAAAGTGAATAGTACTAGGATTGACTTTTTAGTGTAAAAATATAGTTTTTCGTTAAAGTGAACAATACTAGGAGTTTTTTTTGTTAAAATTCCATAAAAAAATCATGTAAAGTGTGAGAAAGACACAATCGATAAATGAAACAAGAACACATGAGGGTCTCTCTCATGTAGTAGACATCCAAGAAAGGAAGATGAAGTTTTAGAGAAAGAGACCCGAAAGCAGCGGGGGAATAGACACTTGTCATGTTACAAAAGCAAGTGGACAATGGAGCCCAACGTTAAGGTTCAAACGTTATCGAAGATAAAGATAGAATTTGCAGAACCATGGTGCATGTGGGTCATGGAAAATTGAAGCACGCCCCCCCCCCCCCTCTCTCTCTCTCTCTCTCTCTCTCTCTCTCTCTGGTGCCAATGTAAACACACGAGAGCCCAATTTTAGTGTGCCAGCTGCATATGCTTGCCTCCTCTTCGAATTACACCTAGTGCCATTCACAACATTAGTTGATTCGATGGTGTTCAATGTGATTAAATAAAACAAGAGAGACTTGGAGACAGAATGGTCCCATATATGGCAGCTGGTTCTCTAAGTTTTTAATTTATTAACTTTTATTACAATGACTAAAGTGTGATTTAACATTTTTTTTTTTAATGTAAAACGTTTACCTAATTTTGTTTTAGAGGTTTTGGTCAATTTACTTTCTAAGTTTTAGCTTGAACTTCTATGCAACAAATGTTAAATAAAATTTTGTACAAATTATTCAAGTTCTTGCCACATGATCCCAATTTTCCCTCGGTCAAGAGTAAATACGATTTTTAACTTCAAGAAAAGTCTAAATATTGACTTTTGTATAACGAGTCATCTGAGATAGATATAAAATGAAGTCCTTACTCTCTTAACTGGCTTATGTGATGTTTCACGTGATAAATATGAACGAAATAATGGATTTGAAAATCTGACGCATGGTAAGAAGTTAATAGCTATATGTTTATAAAAAGTTCAGAGACTAATTGGTCAAATAAAAGTTTATAGTACAAATTGACGGTGACTTACAAATTCAAGAATTAAAACAGAGGATTAAATCCACAAAAACCTCTTCTAAATCATTAATCTTATAAATCACTATGTAAAACCATCTTTACAAAAAAATGAATAAAATATGAGACCATTCAATTGTTAAACTGTATATTTTTATATAGTCAGAATTACAAAATGCATTACAATCTGTCTATCTGTCTATTACAATTAATTAACTAAACAACATTAATTTTCATTAATTTTTTACAAAAATAATCCTTGGATTATAATTCATACAGCTTCAATTATAAGCACAAAGTTGTGTAAGATAACCACGTAATGCTTTGTAAAGTAAACTCTTACAAATCTTTGAGAGCCAAGCTTTGTCCTTAATTCAATCTAATTTTCAGAGAGAGAAAGAGGTTTTTAGAGAGAGAAACAGGGGGTGTGGGGACCATTCCACCGCCCATAGGCACGCAGTAGTAGAGTCTTACTCTTACCGAAACCAAACCCATATCCATCCCCCTCTCTATTTCTCATCTCAATCTAACCCTAACCCAATACTCTACTCACGATCCTTCAAAGAGCAAGACCACCCCCCATCCCATACCTATTTTCTCTCCTCCTCATCTCTTCCTCCTCGCTTCTTTTCTCTCCCAAATCCTCAACAAACAAAATTAACCCTAACCTTATTTTCGCTGTACCTTCAACAGCCAAGGGTGAAGAAGCAATAGCATGCCTATTTCAGCTCCAGTTTTGTTGGTGGCACCACAAATCTGCTCAGCGACTCCCTCCTCCTTTCTGCTCAATCCTGGTTCACTAAACAAGGTAAACAATTAAAAGCAACCCTAAAAGAGAGACACCCCAAGTCTTCCTTTTCCTTTTCTTTGCTAGCTCCTCATCCCACTTTCTCTCTCTCCTTTTGAATTTGTCTACTCAACACGAACCTTTTAACTCTAGCTTTAGCTAGCTAGCTAGCACTCATTTCTATCCTCAATTTCTTGCTACTTTATTGGGTTCTTTGTTTTTAAGGGAAAGAATAAGGTTGTTTTGTTTTGTAAGTACTGAAAATTTAAGCATAAAGATATGGACACCCATTCTCTTCCCCCTCCTTTCCATACAAGAGATTTCCACCTGCATCACCAGCAGCAGCATCCTCAGTTCCACCACCAGCAACAGAATTCCGAAGACGAGCAAACCGGAAGCAGCGGCCTTAACAAGGGACAGAAGAGAGAGCGGGATATCGACAACAATGACAGCGGTGGCAATGGAGGTGAATTAGGCAAAGAGCTCAATGTTACCATGTCCGGTGGTGACGGATCAGAAATGACGAGAAGGCCCCGAGGAAGACCTGCTGGATCCAAGAACAAGCCCAAGCCCCCCATCATCATCACCCGGGACAGCGCCAATGCGCTCCGCACCCACGTCATGGAGATTGCCGACGGGTGCGACATAGTGGAGAGTGTTGCCACCTTTGCTCGCAGGCGCCAGAGAGGCGTCTGCATTATGAGCGGGACCGGCACTGTCACGAATGTGACCCTCAGGCAGCCCGCCTCCCCAGGGTCTATTGTGACCTTGCACGGTCGATTTGAGATCTTGTCATTAGCAGGGTCTTTTCTGCCTCCTCCAGCCCCGCCTGCCGCAACTGGTTTAACTATATATCTGGCAGGAGGGCAAGGGCAAGTAGTAGGGGGAAGCGTTGTGGGAACGCTAATTGCATCTGGCCCGTTGTTATCATGGCGGCTTCGTTTAGCAACGCGGCATATGAGCGGCTTCCACTGGAGGAAGACGAGGGTCAACTACCGATGCAAAGCGGAGGAGGTGGAAGTCTTGGGTCTCCAAGCGGAGTTGGTCATCAGAACCAGCAACAACAGCATCAGCAGCAACAACTTATGGCGGAAGCTGCAAACTCAAATCCGCCTCTTTTTCATGGGTTACCTCCCAATCTCCTGAATTCCATGCAATTGCCAGCCGAGGCAGCGTACTGGGCTACTGGCCGCCCGCCATTCTAACCACCGGACCATCCTATTGGATCATCACGAGAGCTAATTCACTTTGTCATCATCAACTACATGTTACCAGATGCGTCATCACCGACTATGTAGCTAAGTAGTAGCTATGTGGATAGAAGAATTTGCGTTTGTCGTCGATCAGCATTTCAGATTTTTAGTATGTTTTCCTTCTTTTTTTTGAGTTTTGTTTTTAGCATTAATTAATATTCGATAAGTAGATCACGTACCATATGTTTTACATGTTTGATTGAAAGATTGTATATTTCATGGATTATTCTTGGTGAGTTTTTTATTTGTGAAACGTACTACTGCCAGAGCTTGTTTAATATGAAGAGAAACAACATCCAAGAAGAACAATCTGTTTTCAAGCTGGCTTGTTATTTTGATTAATCTTTTCTACCATGAATAAGAAAGGGCTGTTCAAACCAAACCCTTCTGCGTATCTTTTAGTACTTATTTTTGTATCAACAAATAAGTTCAAACATGTTCATCGATCCTCTTCTTCGTTAACCTATATTTTATGTGGTTTTGTGAGATCTGATCATAATTACTATACCTATATACTGATATATATATATATATATATAGAGAGAGAGAGAGAGAGAGAGAGAAATTATTTCTGATAGTTAATTTGTTTGCTTTCTTTTATTTGGATAGAGAATTCGAACTTAAAATATTTTTTAACAAAATAAAGAGAAGTATTACTAAACCTGTATTTACTTAGTAATCGAAGTCGCAGTATTATTGTTTAGGGTTTAAAACTCTGATATTTGAAAGGAATGGCTCAGTGCATAAGAGAAGGAGAAGCAAGGAGGTATGGGCTCATTAGAGTTTCCATGTGTTTCTTATTTCCTTTGTTTTAGAGAGAGAGAGATTTTATCAGAAATATTTAGGGATATGGAGACATGAAAATATTTTGGTACTGGTTTACACGTGCACTGCAAGCTCCTTTTCGAGGCAAACTCAACAACACCACTCTTCCATTAAACGCCCACAGCTCTCTCTCTCTCTCTCTCTCTCTCTCTCTCTCTCTCTCGGGTTCAGAGAATAAGGATTGGGCAGGCAGCTGCAGCTAATGGCTACCTGTACTCGTCGAACTTGCTTTCTTACAACTTTGCTCTTGCTTTTCCCCAACCTTTAGAAGCTTACTAAACTTATCCATTCTTTGTTGGAGTCGGCTGCTTCTTCTAGTTACTTTTAACTTTTAATTTTCTTTATCATCCTGTTGTTACCTTGCAACATGTGTTGAGCCAACAACAGATTCTAATTAAGAAACACTAATGTAGTTTAATTAACATGTTATTTTATCTAACTGTGAACAAAACCTCACTTATTATAACTTCACCTACTCAAAACTCATGAATAATTATTGAGAATTTTCACACACCTCCTTACTCATTATGCACAACTTTGTTTATCTTGGGCATTAGATTGATAAATTTAAAGGAGAATAATGCATGTACATAAACAAGAGTTTATAGAAGGAGAAAATGGTGAGCATAAGTCATTTCTCTAATCATTAACCGTGTAACAGTTCTGTCAAGTAAGAGAAATTACTAGCCTTGTACATTGTTGAAGTCCGCTTAATTAGTTAATTTTTAAGTTACTCTATGCATGATTGATTACTTTTCAAGAGCCAACATGATCTCTTGTTAAACACTACTCTTATTTGAGTTTAACCACGTAAGGGTTTAGTAGATTGAAAAGCTTGTCATGGGCGATTGTTAACTGATGATTTAGTGCAACGTCGGGAAGTGGCTTCAGATTCATATTGCGTTCTTTGTCATATTGCTGAGGAATCTTTTGACCATCTTATTCTGCATTGTTCTCTAATTGTTGCTTTATTTGTGAAAATGAATTTTCTTTCTTTTTGGCGAGCCTTATGCTCCTTGGCAATCCATTGAAGATGCTTTTTTATGGTTCTTTAGTCTCATCATTTTCCAAGTCTGTTCGAAAGCTTTGGTCCTTAGTTACTTGCAATTTATTTTGGTGGCTTTGACATGAAAGGAACCAAAATGTAGTATCTTTTATTATACTATACTTCAACCACTCAAATAAATCAAACCAAATAGTGATAAGACATCGATTATCCTTCTTCATAACTTTTTTTTGGCATTAAGTGGGTTTTAGGTTGACGAGGATCTTTTTATAAGTAGTATCTACGAATTGCTTTACGATAACTAGGCTTATAATCCATCATTTAAAGTATAAATTCACAACAAGATTTCATAGTAAATTAAAAATTGGGAATTTACCTCAAAATTGACGGTGGTGAGCCTGGTGGCTAATGACAACGTGGAAGGCGACGGCTCCCCGCCCGCGGCCCGGGGGGTGGCTCCCGCCGCGGCTCCGGGGGTGGCTCCCGCCCGCGGCCCCGGGGGGTGGGGGGGGTGGGTGGGGGGAAGATAAGGAGTGGCTGTGCGGCGATGTCTTGCTGCTGTGCTGGCTGCTGCTTCCAATGGGTCAATGCAGAGCTTCTGCCTTCTTTTTATCTCGAGTTGTCTGGAGTGTGTACAATGGAGTGGGATTATCTCCCCGTTCTAGTCTCCTTCTCCTTCCCTCCTTTCCTATTTGAATGGTTACGGTTAAGCCACATCAATATTTTGTGTTAATTTTTTAATTGCCAGAAGAAGACAAAAAGCAATTTGTGAGATGAGAGGAGGAAAAGGGATAGGAATAGGAGGAAAGAGAATCTTACTCCGTGTATAATGGGGGACAAGCGAAGTGATCCCCTATTATGTTATATCTTTTTTAACGAAACGACACTGTTTCAACTTTCACTTCGTTTTTTTCCCCATGCCCAAAACAATGTTGTTTTGGCTTAGGTGTTCTAAATAAAAAAGTCAGGCGCAGCGAAGGCTGCGCAGCGGCAACATTCTGGGCAGCTTCAGAGAAATCAGGGCAAATTCTCGCTCTTAAGATCGATTTCAGATGACCGGAGGTGCGGCCACACCTCCTTATGCCTTTGTAGCTTCTCTGGTGTTACACGTATCGTTCACCTTCTTTTTCTCAACAAAGAACACTTATCATCCTTTTCTCCGTATACCTAACCTAAGTGCAACTACAACCTCACGAATTTTTACATATGAACAGGCACAATTGTCGTTCGGGAGTCATCCAATGACATATTATTTATTTCCATGTTATGTATAAAGTTCCGCTATTCTAGAGTCGCTTCTCACCAATTTGTTCCCACAATTATTTGATGCCTATGTGGTCGAAAATTTGGGTGAACCGATCCATCACTTGCTTTTCTCCCCAATATATCACAATCTGCAACATGAAAGATCCAAAATAGATGTTATTGTTGCCAGATTTCGGTTTAGCAGTTCTTGAGAGCATCATTTCAACAAATCCATGCAATTCGTTACTTAATTATTTTAGCGGTATCAAAAATTGAAAAAAATTATATTATCTAAAACCTCGTTTGGCACTTAAAGCACCGGATAGGAATAATACTGGGTTATTTGGTGCACTTACGTGTTAAACAGTCACAAGATTAATTAATCCTGCTCCACTTGTTTTATACACTTCACACCCGCTAACTTATAAGAAAATTTTATTTAACTCATAAGATGTATCTCTACACCTCACCTAACTAACAAAATGTGTCAATCAAACTTCCAAAACTGCCTTTACGAAAGAAAATGGAAACGAAAATTTGCCTTTGCAACCAACAGAGAGTAGTGGATTTTATCTTTACACCCAACAACCCAAAACCAACGCCTCCATTATTGCTGGTAAACGAAACTCAGGCAACTCCCAACTCACAAACCGGTAGAGTGAGGACGAAGAAGACACATTTCAATTTAAACCCTAAAATTAGCGGAAGCAATGGTTCGAAACTGCGATGTTTTATAGATCAAAACCAATGAAGATTTACGGGCAAAATAAAATGTGGGAGTCCTCGCAACGTTATGAAGAGTTTTGAATAAGAGAATATGATGAATTTAAGAACTTGACTCTATGAAAATGAACATGAGCAATCCAATTACAATATTAACCACACTACTCAAGAAGATCATTAATGAATTATGAGTTTATCAACTAACCCTTTTCTCCAAATTCAGACTCTGATTCAAAATTCAAAGACGAAGGATCATCGGACGATTTGGCGAAATCCAAGAAGGAAGTAGTAGGGGACTTTTTTGGGTTTAAGGTTCACTGAAAATAATGGGAATGTGACTGTTTCTCCATTCCCTTCGGGCTAATCTGCTTCTGCGCAACACTGTTTGTGAAGTCATCTTCTCGCTGCCTTCCGTTGGGTCATCATCATCTTCTTCGTCTTCATCATCTGTTCTTTTGCGCGCGCTCTCTCTCTCTGTCTTTATTATGCTCTATCTCTCTCTGTTTATTGACATCACAAATTTATAATATGTCGCTGGCTTTTGGTTTTTCTCCATCAACAAGAAATTAGGTTTTTTTACTGTAGATTTCCAACTTCAATACAAAGTTTTGATTTTGGATAAGAAGCTTGCTTCTTTCACAGGTATCTGAACTTTTTGCCTTTTGGGTTTTAATCAAAGTGTGAATTTTCATCAGATTTGAATTTTATGGCGTTTAGGTGTTTTTGGTGATCTAGGTTGTTACTTTGCGTTTTTTTTATTTGGGTTTGGCTCTTTGGGGGATCTTGGAATGTAGGTGTTTGGAATTCCATGCTTCTGAGGGTTGTGTTTCCTTTCTCGTTATCTCTTTCTATTAATGGTTATGGTTTTTTCCCTTTTCTTTTTCATTTTATCATCAATTTTCTCTTAAAATTAACATCAGTATGAAGACCTCTTATTTATAGTACAGTACCAAACACAAGATTAAATAGTCAGTTTTTATTCCGATATTTCACCAAAAGCTCGACTATTTAGTCAATACTATCAGTGCTCTATTCAATGGAAATAGTCAGTACAGTTCGAGCTGCCAAATGAGACCTAAGTGTTAATTTATCAAAGCATCATTTATTCATATCTAGAATTGTTGTAGTAAGAATTATACCGCATGTTTAATTGTATAAATCCTAGTACATTGTGTTTAGGTTTCCTATGTAATCTAGAAGATCTTAGGCTTTGTTACTTGTAGAGCAAGTAAGTCCATTATGTTTACTATAAATAAAGATACAAGATACGCAAAAAGGCACAAAAAATTTCCCTACACCTATCTTTTCTGTCTCTCTTTTTTAGTTGAACTTAGACCACAACACATTATCTTTAATTTAAAGGGATCTTAACTTGCATGAATTTTGTACAAAAACAAAAAATATTGCATGCACGATCAAGTGAAGCTACCGATGATATGTTCGGTTCAGCAATTGTTTTGGTGCAACTACTGTAAACGTGAGTTATTAAAAATAAGTATGTAAATATATTGTAAATATTAGGAGTCTTTTATTAGGAAGGATTAATTGTTTTGTCCTTTATTGATAATTGTTTTCATATAGAACAAGGATTATATTTGTATATATTTCAAGGAAGTAATACAATGAAAATTATCCTGTAAAATTCTATTTGGCATCAGAGCCAAGGCTGCCGTAACCCTAGTTTTTCCGCTGTGCTTAGTCAACTTTTTTTTTTTTCCCCAATTCTTCTCGCATAAATCAGTGTCACTGTGCGTGTGTGATATTGCTGCGTGCAGCAGTGTGTGTGTGATATTGCTGAGTGTACAACAGTGTGGTGGGTCATCAGTGTCGGCTTTGCTATTTTTTTTTTTTTTTGTTTGGGTAAAGTAGAATGGCATCGGAGGAAGGCAGTGGCGTGTTGAAGTTGGAGGGTAATGTTTGTAACCCAACCAATAATCCAGTATTGAATCATGTTGTTATTCAGGGTGATGCATCTGTAGTACCGAACACAGTGAAACTAAATGAATCAAATTATCCTTTTTGGTCCAAGGTTTTAGGGATGCACATTGCTGGACGCGGTAGGAAAGGCTCTGTGACTAGGAGTACCAAGGAGCCGGCTGAGGATAATGCTAAGTATGAGACGTGGGAGACATTGAATGTAATAGTAAAAGGGTGGTTAATTAATTCCATGGAACCTACTATCATGGGATTTTTTATTCACCTACGTACTGCTAAAGAAGTTTGGGAAGAGGTGGCTCGGACCTATTATGACGGTTCAGATATTTCTCAAATTTATGAATTTAAGGTTAAATTTTTCAGACTCCATCAAGAGGGCCAACCAGTTGGTGTGTATTATGCTGATCTCAAGTCCGTTTGGTAGGAGTTAGATCAAAGGTGACCAATCAAGATTAAGTGTGCTGTGGATCTCAAGACTCTTCGAGGAGAAATTCAAATTGATCGTGTGTATGCTTTTTAGGCGAGTTTGGATGATGTTATGATAAAGTACGTAATGATATTCTACGTACTCAACCCTTACCATCTGTTGAAGAGGTGTTTTCTATTGTTCGGCGTGAAGCATAACGACATGCCACATTGATGGATGGAAGTAACAATCAAGGAGGGTTGTCGTCCATGGCCATGATCTCTCTGCCAGCTAGTGCTCCTCGTCCTAATAATCCTTCTAATCAATCTTTAAATTCTCGCCCCTTCAACCGAGAAAATAAAGATGATTTGAAGTGTACTTTCTATGGACAAACGCGTCATACTGAGGATACGTGCTTTGCTAAGCATAGAGTGCCTGATTGGTTTCCAGAATTGAAGAAAAAATTGCGTGCAAAGGAGCGTGGAAGTGCGGGCAATAATGGAGGTCGTGCCTCCCTAGCTACTGCTCCATCGAAGGCTAAGAAGGCCAAGCCTACTTCTCATGACCCGAGTCAAACCTTGTTAACTCGTTCTACCTATGGTGACTCATCCTCCACTGCAGGTATTGTAGGGCATGGTCTTTTGGCCTCCGATACTGAGCATCATACATGTTGGAATCCGGACTCTAGTGCAACGGATCATATGACATATCATAAGAATAGGTTTCAATGTATGACAACATCTCACAAGGAATATATTGCCACTACCAATGGTACCTGTGCCCCTATTATTGGTGCTGGCACCGTGTATGTCACGACCTCTTTCCCTTTACACCGATGTTTACTTGTTCCATCTTTATCACATCATTGACTTTCCATACCATAGGTTACTGAACAATTAGATTGTGTTTAATGTATCCGTCCTTTTGTCTACTTCAGGATATTCAGACCAATGAGATAATTGGGTGTGGCACTAAGAGAGAGCGGTTGTACTATGTGGATGATGTCGTTCATGGTAGAGCTTATGCAGTACGAGTGTTCCATGATAGTAATCTACAAGAAGTATGGTTATTGCTTTGTCAATTAGGGCATGCATCCTTTCAATATTTAAGGCATATGTTGCCTAGTTTATTTAGTGGAATAAATGAATCAAACTTACGTTGTGAAGTATATGTTCTTGCTAAAAGTCATCGTGCTTTGTTTCCTCCTAGTATGAATAAAAAACCTCTTACGTTTGATCTTATGCATTCCGATGTTTTGGGGCCTTCTCCAGTTACTACTTCTTTAGGAATTCGGTGGTTTGTTACATTTGTTAATGATTGCACTTGTATGACATGGCTTTATGTGTTGAAAAATAGAAGTGATGTTAGTGCCATATTTCAGTCCTTTGCTCAGATGATTCAAACACAATATTCTTCTGTTATCAAGGTTCTCCATTCTGATAATGGAGGAGAATACATCAATTTTGAGTTGTCGGAGTTTCTACGTGATCAAGGCATTCTCCATGAAACCACGTGTCCGCATACTCCACAACAAAATAGGGGCGTAAAAATGGCCACATTTTGGAAACAGCCCGTGCCTTACTCCTTGGGGCCTCGGTTCCTTAGCATTTTTGGCCTGAAGCAGTTACCTATGCCATGTATGTTATTAATCGTATGCCCTCTCGGGTGGTTAGTTTTTAAACACCTCTTCAAGTCCCCACACAACATGCTCCAGTGGTGTCAAGTAATACTCTCACCCCTCGAGTCTTTGGTTGTGTGGCTTATGTTCATATTTAGAAAATACATCGTAGTAAATTGGATCCGTGTGCATTACGGTGTGTCTTTCTGGGTTTTTCTTCTCACCAAAAAGGGTATAAATGTTACCATCCTGAAACCCAGCATCTGTATGTAACCATGGATGTGACTTTTTCTGAAACAGAATATTTCTACATTTTCGTACCTTCCACTTCAAATCACCAGGGGGAGAACACTGTTGGTGATCTGAGTTGGTTGGATCTAGAGGGAGATGTGATTATTGAACAGCGTGTAAGACCTAGAATTGTTAGTGTCAAATGTAGAGTGGGTACCGAGTGTATTGACAACTCGGATGATGTTGGTGATTTGAGGTTGAATCTGAACAAACCCATAAGAGAGTCTCGGCCAGTTACTGCCAAGGGATGTCCTGTTGTTTAGCAGTCCCTTGTCAAGCCCACTACACCAGTGTTTGCCGAGCCTAGTACACCCTCTCTCTCTAGTTCCGACGTACCGCCAAATACATCTTCTCTGAATATGCCTGAGGTAAGTATCGTAAATGACTGTGTAACTAGTCCAATTAATAATGTGAGTACTTATAAACTGCCACCAAAACAAAATCAAGGTGTGCCTCCTGATAGGTTTTCTCCTGAAAGGAAGGTGAAGTATCTGATAGCCAATTATGTATCATGTAACAAGCTTACACCAGAACGTCAGACCTTGGTGAGTAATATGGAGTCTATTCAAGTACCAACTTGAGTGGAGGAAGCTCTAAAAGATCCAAAGTGGGCAAAAGCAATGGATGAGGAGATGTTGGCTTTACAAAAAAATAATACTTGGGAGGTGATGATGCTACCCGCAGGAAAGAAGACAATGGGATGCCTATGGGTATTTACAGTTAAATATAAGGTTTATGGAACGGTAGACAAATACAAAGTAAGGTTGGTGGCTAAAGGGTATACTCAAACATATGGGGTGGATTATCAAGAGACTTTCTCCCCAATTGCCAAGATGAATATGGTACGTGTTCTTACCTCTTTAGTTACAAATATGGACTGGCCATTAAAACAGTTCGATGTGAAGAATGCGTTTCTCCATGGAAATTTGGAGGAAGAAGTATATATGGATTTTCCTCCTGCATATAGCAATGGTGGGAATACCGGAGTATGTCGGTTGTGTAAGTCACTTTATAGGCTTAAGCAATCACCTTGTGCATGGTTTGATAGATTTACTCAAGTGATGAAAAGGAATGGATATCATCTTAGCGATTCTAATCATACTTTATTTGTAAAGCATATACAAAATAAAGTAACAACCTTGATTATTTATGTAGATGACATGATTATAGCAAGAGATAATGTTGATGAGATGTCCAAGTTGCAAGGAAACCATGCGGCCGAATTCGAAATGAAGGATTTAGGAGATTTGAAATATTTTCTAGGAGTTGAAGTTGCTCGCTCGTCTAAAGGTATCTTCTTGTCTCAACGTAAGTATGTACTGGATTTATTAAAAGAGAATGGTATGTTGGGATGTAAACCAGTAGAGACTCCTATTGTTAAGAAGCATCATTTGTGTTTGAATCCAAGTCAAAAACTGGTCGACAAAGGTAGATATCAAAGGCTTGTAGGAAGACTGATTTATTTGGCTCATACTCGTCCTAATATTGCCTATGCTCTGAGTGTTGTGAGTCAGTTCATGCATTCACCAAATGTGAATCATATAGCTGCTGTTATGCATATCTTGGCATACTTGAAGTCGGCACCTGGAAAAAGGAGTATTGTATGGGAAACATGGGCAGGTCATGTAACTGATAGACAGTCTACTTCTAGGTACTTTACCTTTGTTGGAGGGAATTTGGTGACATGGCGAAGTAAGAAACAGAAGGCGGTGTCATGGTCTTCAGTTGAGGCCGAATATAGAGGAATGGCTTAAGGAAATTTTGAAATCCTCTGGCTACAAAAACTTCTTTTGGGACTTGGGTTTAAACCGAATGAGACCATGAAGTTGTATTGTGACAACAAGTCAGCAAGAGATACAGCTGACAGTCCAATGCAGCATGATAGAACAAAGCATGTGAAGGTAGATTGGCATTTTATTAAAGAGAAGCTTGAAAAGAAGATTGTATGAATATCGTTTGTGAATCCAGGATGTTCTTACTCATGCAGTGTGTGGTCGAAAGTTCAGTGACTCACTTGTCAAGTTGGGCATGAGTGATATCCATGCACCAACTTGAGGGGGAGTGTAAATGTGAGTTATTAAAAATAAGTACGTAAATATATTGTAAATAGTAAGAGTCCTTTATTAGGAAGGAATAATTGTTTTGTCCTTTATTGATTATTGTTTCCATATAGAACAAGGATTGTATTTGTATATATTTCAAGGAAGTAATATAATGAAAATTACCCCATAAAATTCTATCATTACAAAGTACTAAGATACCTCCAAAAGTTCAATTAGTAATTTTTTAGTGTAACAGTAACACTAGGTATGTCACAAGTCTCAAGAAATAAATGTGCCATTCCTATGCGCCACATAAACACGGAGTAGGATTTTCCCTTCATATTTCTCTCCTCTTCCGTTTCCTCTTCTCACACTTTTCATTGTCTTACTTTTTCTATAAAAAAAATTAAAATAAAATGTCGACATGGGTTAATCGTGATCGTTCAAATAAGAGAGAAGGGAAAGAGAGGAAAAAAATTATGAGATATAATCCTACTCCGTATGAACTCTCTTATATTTGGCAGTTTTTTTATTGCAACTGAGCAACCTTACTCCCCGAAAGTGTCTTTTAGAATTGTCAATACGAGATTGTACATATGAATACAAGGGGTAATCTTTTGTTTGTCCTTATTCCCGAATATCCATTTTATTTTATTTCATTTTATCTATATTTTTGGAGGTGAGGGACTGTCAAATCCCGACCTGGGGTGGATCACTTCCCGAGCCCACTCCACCACCATAGCACGATATTGTCCGCTTTGGGCTTACCATTCCCTCACGGTTTTGTTTTTAGGAACTCACGAGCAACTTCCCAGTGGGTCACCCATCATGGGATTGCTCTAGCCCCCTTCTCGCTTAACTTCAGAGTTCTCATGGAACCCGAAGCCAATGAGCTCCCAAAAGGCCTCGTGCTAGGTTGAGATGGAAATATACATTTAAGGATCACTCTCCTGGGCGATGTGGGATGTTACAGAGACCGTCTGTCGTGTATGATAGTGCACCAATTTTGGAGAAATGATTTTCGTACATTTTTTTTCTTCTCATCTAATTATTTTTGGTCTTGACCCACTTAATTTTACAGTTTAATGGTATTCCTCTTTACTTATAAGTCAGAAGTCATAAGTTCGATTCTCACAGAAGGTAAGTTTAAACCACATTATTACTAACATATTGTAAGACTAAACCATCGTCTTCCCTCTTTAGTGTAAATAATATCATTTGATAAAAAAATAAAAAGTAAAATTTCTAGTCTTGAATGAATGAATTAAAGAAAAATCAAGAAACTAAGCGGAAATCATTTACCTCCGGCAAACATAAAATAAGTCAGTTTGTATTTCCAATTTGTTTCATATACAAATCAATATACAAACTAGTTAGAAGCCACAGTGGGATGTTCGGCTGAAACATGAACTAATAGACAATAAATGGATCAACAAATTAGAGTTTTGTGTGTGATTAACTAAATATTCGGACTATTAACTGGCCTAAGTTTTCATGCTTGTTGCTGCTGCATTTTGAGATTAATACAGGCAGGTACTTGTTGCTCCATCTCCCACACCTTCACATTGTTTCCATAATGCCATGAGTTTTCAGTTATCAATCCGTAGCCGCCGCAGTTCAGCTTGGAAGGTAGGGCTCGAAGTTAGTGTTCGATATGCAAGATTTCTTATGTCTTCGTGTGAACAATCTCGAGAAATGCGGACCAGCTCCCACAGGGCACCACTAGTGATCATGTCTTTAGCATTCACTTCTGAAAAAGAAACTAAACAACGTGAGCAAACATTCTGACAGAAGATTAGTTTGTTTCATAGTGATTGGGGAAGTGGAAAGCTTACCATGTTGTGCCAAGTGACAGAGTGCAAGTTCGATGTGGCGTTTGATTGGTGAGGCGTCATTGCTAGCATTCTGTACAATCCATGCAAGCGCGCCGTCTTCAATCAGAAGAGACTTTCCGGTCTTGGTACCTACAATGAAATAATGGTAATAACCACTTTAACTCTGTCCACATGATTAAACTATATATGCTTTCACGAATTCTTCATAAATCAATTTTTTATCAAAAGATGAAAACAAATTTATTAAGTAATGCCGGACAGTGATAACCTGTGATTGAAACTAAGCACAGAATACTTTTTTAAGACACGCACAGGAATAACTTTTCCATGAACACATAGCCTCTTTACCTTGTGTAGATGCTCTAGACTCGCATTTTGCAAAGTTTGCTATTCCTCGAGCAACTTGTGCAAGAACATCAGGATGTCCACATCTGACCATTCCTAGCAACGCCTTGATGCCACCTTCACCCCGTAGCTTATTCTGTAATTTATCTGAGCAATGCAATTTCATTTTTGTCAGTAACTGCAGAGTAGACTAACTTGTATTAAACTTTTATTTCATGACGCCACTACAAGCACTTCAAAAAGGAACTAATGCAATTGTAAAAACTGCATTTCCGAACTCAATACACCTCTCATACCAGATGGACTTGCCACAATCCAAATACCTAGTTTGGATGAAGTTTGATGTAATTATAACCTCTTAAAAGTTAAGCCTTAACTACTACATCAATCTTTTCATGAGTCGTTTACTTATTTGAGTTAATCTGACTAACCCAACCACAAGCACTTATGGTCCGTTTGGAAGGGGGTTTTGGTGGACCAAGGAATTTACTAATGTTGGGAGTAGCAAATGAAGGGGGTTTTAGGTTCCTTGTTTGGTAAAGACCCTTCCAAAGCTCCAATTTAATCCCAGGCTTTTCAGGACCCTTTCAAAATTGTATCCAAACAAAGTGGATAGGATTTGGGATTTCCAAAACCAGACCTTCACCCAAACGGACCCTTAGTGAATTAGTGACGCATTAAAACCCCCACTGCCCCTCAATATGAGAATACAAGATGGCTTTACCATGGTGTCCAACTAGTGTAGACAATGTAACTGTGATCTAGAGTATGAGCTTAATAATTGCTGCTACAGAAAAACATTAAATTCTGAAAGATTTCATGAGTTTTCATTTCAGGTAAATATGATTACTTTAGGTATTTTAGCAACTTGATGGGCTTATTTGGTGTGATTAAGGATATCATTAAGGAATTGAACATTAAGAGGTCAGAAAGTTTACCATTTCCACATAGATTAGCAATGGCACCAGCAACCATTCGAAGGGTTTGGGGATCTTTACCGTGGGCTGCTGTCATAGATAACAAACTAATTCCCCCTTGAGTCATTATCAGCTCCTGGTTGGTTTCTGATTTAAAACACCAAAGAAGAATTAAAGCGCATATTAGAGAGTTGCGACTTTCTCAGCCAATGTTGTAATTATGAACGTGGACTTCAAGTTTATACCATTCATCGCTAGATTTGCGATTGCACCAGCAGCAACTCTATGTATGGTTTCATCCTCAGAGTTTTCAAGTAGCATCAGCAAGGATGTAAGACCGCCAGCTTCTACTATTCTCTCCTGATTTGTTTCTGAATATTAGGAGGAGAACACGTGTTATTGCTTGCTGATGCAGTGAGCACTAAAAATATTGATATTATGAAGTAGAAATATCAGATATGTAGGTAGAGCTTTATTCAACATGACAATCCTAACCCACGCGAATCATATCACAAGGGAGACATGTCGACCAAAACACAAGGAGACAAATTGTATACAATATGCAATCAGTACAAATATAGATAAAGAACGTACGAAATCAAATGTTACCACGTGAAAGGAGATCCCTGTCTCATCCAAGCTTTTCATACACCCTCTTGGTAGCTTACCATACTTTTCTTTTAAATTAACATAAGAGGATCTTCTATCAATACAGGACTGAAAATTGGATTCCTGATCCAAGCATTAATTCCTATATATTATTTTATGCATTTTTTATTCTTTGCACAATTATATCATGAAGTATCATCTAATTTCCTTTGCACTTGCCACTGATTCTAAACAAAACACAACAAACAATAGAAACTAAAAGAAGAAGTTCTATAGCCTCAATATGAAGCATTGTTCTGCAGCTAACACCCAACTATATTTTCCAAGTATACACAAATAATTATAAATGAAGATCAGGAATGGTTTGAAAAACTAATAAGCATGTGATACTACAGTATCTGTGTAAGGAAGACAAAAAATGGTCACCTTCAGCAGCAAGATTTGCTACAACTTTAACAGCATGAATCCGCACATCATTATCTTCTGCTTCAAGCAATGACAAGATCTTTTGCAATCCCACTGATAATATTGCCTTTTGTTAGTAATAAACAAGAGGAAAGATGGATGCACTTAAAAAAAAAAAATCTACCGTGAAGAGAGAATAAGTAGCTTAGGAACAGTAACCTTGCTCAAAGAGTTTTGCTATCGAGGCTTTCTCCCCATTTCCTGAATCTTTAAGCTGCGGTTGCCTAACTTGACTCATAAGGGACTCAAGACCACCAATTTTTCCCGGCCCACTCCTGTCTAGTTGTTGACTTGTCTACAAAAGCATATCCATTAGAAATCCAGGTATATTTCATGATTCATCATGAGATGGGCCCATTTGTTGGATATTCTTTTGTAGTGAGATGTTGTCTATTTCATTTGTTGGACAAACTCCTCTAATGAGATGTTGCCTAACTTGAGTGATACTTATGGGCCCATTTGATGCAGAATGAAATAGACATGTACAGAAGTAAATGGGCAGAGGGATCCATTGGGCCTCCTCATATGCCGAGAGTTCTAA